TTGCAATAATGGCGTGAGCACATCTGCAGCAGTCTCTGGGTTCGTTTTCAATGCTTCGGGGAGAATTTCATCTGGGCCTGCTGCCTTCCCGGACTTCGGTGTCTCGATTGCATTTAGTTTTTCAGCTTCCATGATTGGTTACTACTGGCATATTAATATATGTGTAAAACTTGGGCACTGTGGTAGTAAGTAATTACTTACTGCTACTGGCAGTTATGTTCGGCTTACAAATCTTATAAATTCCCGATGACTTATATACACAACCATCGGGTGTTGATTTCTTTGGAGAGTTTATGTCCCAACAGTTGACTTGAGTGACTTGAACGTACTACTGTTGTGAGAGCTGGCTGCTAGCCAATTCGGTAGACAGTCATTTACGTCAATACCTACGTCTCCAATATTGCTCGTGAGATAAGACTGATTCAACAACCAACCACACCAGATTTTGTGTAGGCGGACACAGTTAGCATATAGATTATCTGACATTCAAGAAACAGCCACAAAGAGATGAAAAATTAACTTTCAGTGAGAAGCAACCAGTCAGAAGATTTTTTCTGCTAACAATAATCTATAATATTGCACATGAAAATCTATAAATATCTTTTGATTTCGCAAATAAACGATCTGTTGCGTGGCCGTCGTCTTCTGTTGTTACACTACTGCTATTGACTATCTGTTTTTTCAATAGTTCTTTAAATAGGATATGTCAATTCGCGATCCTTCATAAAGTCAGTGATATCTCTCTTACCTTCAAAGCTGTCATTACACAGCACATTCGAAGACTGATTTTGTTTTATGATCATACACTGTGTATATTTTTCTTTAAGCAGTTCTCCATATTTGACATTATATAATTATATAAATTTCAAAGCCTAAAAGAGACAGACGAGTAAGTGTAGAAGTGAGTTAAATATAAATGTGTTTTTTATCTCCGTTTTTTATTTGTTTTCATATGTTTATACGTTTCATTAACAGTTTTCTTCAATGTTAAATATTAAAGTGTTATTCAAAGAAAATAATTGAAATAATAATGTGATAGTGATAAATCAGAAACCCGAATTATATTCTTTATTTTCCGCCTAATCTTTATTCCCTTCATCATTTTGTTATATTGCAACTACAAAAAACAAACAAATACAAAAATCAGAAGATGCTTGGGATGTTGTAGACAGTGAACCAGGTTTTCAATTAATGAAGCACTAACCGTCACGAATAATCCCAACTGGAGGAGTTACATATTTTCAAGGAATAGAATTAAGAATTTAGTACTATTAGTAAGAGACGTATTAGAGTAGCCTGTAGAATAAGAGGGAGATTTGAGGAATACCAGGCATAAAAGTAACGAGCCCTCCGTATTGCCACAATTTACAAGGTTTCCAAGAGCTTGGAGAGACGCTCTCAGCAGTCTAGTCTTCAAGACTAGCCTTCTATTTGGCACCGCCGCTACACCACTGAGGCGAACTATCGACGATGCAGTCATTCAGCATGTTGAGAGTATTCAATTTCTAGCCGTGGATAGTGTAAAAGCGCACTCTCATGCAAAAGCGATCTTCTCTGTGCATGGAAGAGTTAGTTTGAGCTAATAGTCAATTGGATGTTACATTCATAGGCTCCAGAAAGACTTTGGATCAGGATTCCTATATGAGTGTCCGGAATCATTTTGTCTTTGACAGAATCCAGGGCTTCCTGAGGGATAGAAGACAGTAATTGCTAACCACGCATTGTCATCAAGGCAACCGTCGAATGGTGGTATGCTTCAAGTTGCAGTTCTGGGCCCTCCTTTCTCTATGGTATATGGTAATAAGACACCACTAGTCATCCTGCCCAATGTTCGTCAATGATGTTATGCCCCGGAAGACTATAGGTATTGGTAATGATAGGGAAACCAATCACCCAGGGCTACTCAAGGAGATGGAGGCACACACACACAGCCAACCTATGGACTACTGCCTTCAAAACCCTTGTCTTACATGGAAGGTTAACGCATGACTAAAAGGATACGATAGTAAACCTCATCCGAGGCAGAGGGCCTAGACTTGTAATGACTGAGAAGCGTGGTCGGCAACGCTCTCGATGAACTGGTAAGTCAGTAACTTAGCCACTGATTCTTTATTGAAACTGGGATGCGCAGGTCAAAGTAGATTAGTCAGTTTCACCGCCAACACTAAGGGGTCTCCGTCAGGTCCCAGCTTCGTGGAACGGAACTGCTGCATTGCCAGCTGTCTCTCTGTTATGCTGTCAAACTCCGACACCAATCGTTCAACCAATGTCTCCCAAGACTCTGTGTCACCTGACCTCTCTACGCTGTCGTATACCGCCTTCGCTCCGCCTCTCAACAGCGTCCCCACCAAAACCGCCCTCGCCTCCCGCTCCTTGACACCCACCAAGTTGGCAACGGCCTCGAAGTCTCGTGGGAAACTTCCTACGTCTCCATCTTCAAACACAGTCGCCCATGACATGTCCACCGTTCGGAGTTAGTGACACTAATTGTAACGTCATCAGACAAGGGATGAGCATCGGATTGTATGTTGTCAGCGGAGAAGAAACGTCTTCTGATTGTTTGTTTTCTTGCTGAAGGTTATTCGGTGACTCTAAACTTTAGGAACCCAAAACAACCTTGATAACGGATGACCTTGATGAATGACCTTGAGCAGGCAATCATCTGACTCGCAATGGATGCTGTACATCGTTTGCGATGCAAATTCGCTCCAGAGTTTGTTTTCGATTACTGTTTAGAGAACGGGCTGATAGCGAGATCGAAAATTTGCCAGTGCGGAGGTGTTATGCATATACAAAGATACACGAAATGCATCGACGGTTATGTTAACCGTTGCAGGGAGTGCAGATGCAGAAAATCCATTATCCAAGCCCATTATCCAACGTTTAGTGCTACCGGGAACAACAATACATACGGATGAGTGGAGTAGTTACAGCCAATTATCAAATCTCGGCTATATTCATGAGGTTGTCAACCGTACAACCGGATTTATAAATCCTTTCAATGGAACTCATACTAATTCCATTGAAAGTTTCTGGAGTCATCTCAAAAAACGGATAAGATCGGTGAACGGATCAAGAAATCCAATGATTTACAGTTATCTCGACGAGTTTATGTATAGGACATGACTTTAAAGACTCCTATGTCTAATTGGGACTTTTTTGCACCAATTACGAGAACGCTATCCTTTGTAACTATTTTTTAACATTGCTTTACTTGTATATAAACGATTTATTAAAATTATGCGCCGTTCATTTTAAGCCTTCTGATTGGTTAAAATTGTCCTTGTCAAGGTCATTTGTCCGTTCGTTCGTTTGGGTTCCTAAAGTTTAGAGTCACCGGTTATTCTGCTATTTCTTTTGTGGACGTTTCTCAGGAGACAATAATAATAGTATATTCTCATTTTTGTACATGAGGGACGCCAGTTTACAGGCATCATCAATTCGATAAATTACACATACAAATAGTAAGTATAGTCAGTAATGATAATATAAAAAGGTACATAATTATTCCTACAAATGCAGGACGCACAAGTTGTAAAGCCATGGATAAGTATTTTTTAAGTTACATATTTAAATTACATGATTTACGGTTAAATAACATGGTTGCTGTCATTCTATCTTCAGTTTGTGGGAAAAATCGGATAACTGGTGATTCAATGGAACACACCAAGAAATATAGCGATATTGACTTCGCATTAACAAAAAACCCAGGTATGCGTTGGATGGATTACAAATACTTGGAAAAATAAATAAAGCTTGAAGTCAATTCCCTCATAAAACAATAAAATACGTCTTAAAATAATATATTCCCTCTTTACGCACATGAATAAATAAATAAATTTATTCTCATAGTACAGTACATGAGGGATGAAGCCATATATCTGCGAATCATATTTCCACACGTTAAGTCCGCTGAGATTGGTTGGTGATCTTCTCAAGTTTGAGCTTTTCAATTGTTTCGGGACGTAAACGCTGACGTAAATTGTTGGCTTGTTCGCAGCGAGCTCTCACCACAGACCTACCAACACATCGTCGGGATCCTGATAAAGTAACGACGAAAGGTATTATTTATATTTTTATTTTTTTATTTTGATTACAGCTTGATGCCACATCGTATTTCAGTACAAGTATGGAATTTTCAGCATGGATGTCGGCAGCCCAAATTTTGCAGGCCGACCATAGATGTCGGGTGTGCGTCGGCAGGGGATCGAACCCCAGACCATGTGCATGGTCGGCGAGAGTCCTAACCGGTGTGCCACAGACGCACTTTGAAAACAACAACACAAAGCACTGTTTCTGAAGAAATTTCTCCTGTCTGGTAGATTTCTCAGCAGAAATGGAATGCTTGATAATGTCCAGGGATGATAAGAATCCTAATCACGTCTCTTCGTAGATTCCAGCAAAGCTTTCGGTATGCCTGACACAAGACTGATCATGAAAGTTGAAGGTTATGGGATAAAGGGAGGTCTACCACAATAGATTCATTTAGTCCCTGTAATTAGTAAATAGAAGGTCAGAATCAACTCCAGACGGTATTAGTGGGCAGCAGCGCACAGTATTGTGCAACAAGTTAATGTACGCGGTCTCCTTCAATGAGTTCAATATTTTTATGAGAAACTACCTAAGAGGTTGAAACTCTTCTCTTCATCCTACTGTAGACACAGAAGTGATTTAATCAAAATATTAGAGACAGTAATATATAACGGTAGACTAGGCCTATCATCTCTTTCACCATCACCAGTGTCGAGACATCTTGGAGAAGATGAGAAGCGAATGCGATAGTTAAATAGAAGCTATATCGTTGTGGAATACTGAAACTCCACTGAATCACTACCTCTCAGAACAGATACTCAGGAGTGGTGTTTGCAATTACGAATAGGGTTATTGAAGGCGAACACAGGTACTTAATGGAGAAGAGCTGACATGAGTTCGATCCATTCAAAGTAATACTGAACCTCTATTTTATAACATAGCAGGAATATTGATTTTAATCTTCCTTAATGGTATGTAAACTGTAAGAGCGATACATATTTTTGATGACATGAGGTCAATGGAGGAACATGCACTGGTAGTTACTAAATCCGCTGTAACACAGGAACTAAAATGAGTTGGGATTTAAACACAATTAGCACACTCAGTTTACTCGTCACCATAACTCATCCTGCTTAAAAAAGATCGTAGTTGTGTAGTCTATAATATTCTTCTTTTAAAATGCTTCCCTCTTTCTTTCATGGCCTACCAGTTTCGCAATTTCTTATACTGCACTAAAGGGTATCGGAGAGACATTACAGAAGTCGTGGCGCTATTTTGAAATCACTGGCAAGTCTTAGTAAATGTCCTTCGTGTTTGCCGTTGATTTTGCCAAACTGGCTAGTCTGTCCAAATTCTCCGATTAATCACTTGCGTAAATTCTTCCTCACCTTTGATATATTGGGGGGAGAGAAGCAACACACCACATCTTGCCTGAGATAGTTGTGTAGATGCCAAGAACTTTGGGCGAATTACTGACGGAAAGCCACCAAAAAGCTTGGAGCGTACATCGAAAACTATGGCCTGCTTGTGTTGAGTTGTCGTATTGTGTTCAGTTCACTCAAGTTTATGTAAAAACTAGTCTAAATATTACAAAGTGTACAAGTATCATGCACGCGCTTACGCATCACGTTCCACACAGTTTCCAATTTAGGCACACTAACTGTTACTATCTGATATAAAAGGAATTGAAACGAGCCATGTAATTACACAATAATAATTGATTTGTACAATTATTCATCGCCACTGGTTCACGAATGAACCAAAATTAACACTCAAACTCGGGTGCACTGGTCATCGTGTGCTTTCTCCTTCATTTGCCAAATCTATGATAGTGTGCGAGTAGTGCATAAACTGCTAACATTACCGATTTGTTCGTCGTGCCGTTCTGAAATCTGTGCTTTTTTAAGTCTTTCACGATTGAGATTGATGCAACTGTTGCTGACAACTGTCTTGTAAGTTGTGAGGTGGTGATAGGTAGACGTGCGCAGTAAGTGTTATATCCACTTCGATCCATGTACATCGGCATGAACGACGGCCTCGCTGTTACCAACAGATGTCCGCATTAGCCATTTCAATTTCGGAAGTAACACAGCGAATGCTTGAAGGCGGGAGATCTGACAAAATATCTGACTAAGAAGGCCATCAAGGAGTGTAAAAATCGTGGAATTCCAAAATAAAAATAGGAGAAATTCCGCACACCGTTGGCTGAAGCAGGAAGTGTATAGGGTCTGTTGAACACAGCCCGTAATTCTCAGAAAATCAACTGTAATCATTTCCTGGCATTCAGTCAGTTCGTTAACTGATGTGGTGTCGATTGGTGGTATAATTCCTTTCGAATAATGTAGTTGGTCTATTCATCAGTCAGTATATTGCTTCGTTTCTTCCTTCTCAGGGTTTTCGTACACTCAATTTCGATTGGAGAGGTCAGAGTGAAACATCTGGATCAAGAGTTATGTCTACTGGTGAAGAAGGTCACTTGGTACAGAATCTTAATGAAAGATTCAGAGGTGGACTTAATAAATGGCATCAACGTCGCCGTAGAGCTAGAGGCAGTGGAGAAGGCATAAGCGGAAGAAACCAAAATGGTCGGCCGCATGAGACACCCGATGGTGGGGATGTCCCATCAAGTGGGGTAGGTATTTGCAATTGGTGTTAAAAGTTATGATCGTGTTTATTGGTTTTCTGTTTAAATGTCCAACTCTGAGGTAATGAATAAGTTTTATGGGTGGGCTGGTTGTTTGTGTAAGTGTTGGATAACTCGATTGCTGGCTACTCACTGATAGGAAAGGTTGTTGTGCTGCTCTATTTTGACCAAACTAGCGTACACGTATATCCTAGTACTTCTTCGCTTTTATAATTGTGTCCTAACGTTGTGATTACTCGACATCCACAACGTAATTCAAAAGGGACTTGCGAGTACAAAAGTATCAATTGTTAACACGCAATCTTTAGAGTGATAAACAAATCAAAGTCCAATTACATAGTGGAAGTATACTACGATGATGAGTAATAAAACGGGTCACTACAATAGCCCCTCCGTAGAATGCAGGTAAATGAAGTTTACCTGTATTCGGAATGATATTGTAAATTACAATGACAGAAGAAATATATGAGTTTCTGGTATGAAAATCGAATTGAGGCTTTTAAGTTTTCTGAGGTTTGATAATATGACTGTATATGTTCGAAAATGTTAACAACTTTGGAACGAACCAAAATGTCTAGAAAGTTGTGCAAAATGTAACAATAAAACCAGAAAAATTATTACAATAGTAATGAGGTTGTTATTGTAAAGAGTTACAGAATAGATTTATATCTTACATTCAGTTAATAGTACAGTATTAAGGAAGTATGGAAATGAATTAGAAATAAATTGTCTGTACAAATCTTTGTGGCCAATGTACTCGTCTGCCTGATCTTGTGACTCTTTCTGTTTTGTTAGCCGGAATATCATCAGATTTTGAATCTTGAGAGCAGGAGTCATTTTAAGGCTCAAATTTAGGTTATGTTGATTTTGGTAAACATTCAGTCATCTCTATTTCCATGGAAGCTGGTTTTACGCGATCGATGCTTACATTTTCGTGTTTTCCTCCGCGTTCGACAGTGGTGATTTTGTTTGTTCTGCTTATTAATTTAAATGGTCCGTCATAGGGTGGTTGCAGTGGATTCTTTACACCGTCGTGTCGTATCAACACGTGAGTGCAATCTTCTAATTTTTGAGGCATGTATGCTTGGTTGAGCTGATGTCGCGGCGAATGATATCTATTCGTACGACCTGTGCTTTGCACCGTCTAAGTGGAAATTAATGTTACAAGATTGGCTCAGCCATTCAGGTGAACCGCTTGGAGTTGTCGACGAGTTGATGCATATAGGTAGTTGCGTGAGTGGTGGCGTAGGTGTGACGGACGAAATGTCTAACTGTAATTCTGAGGTCTGACAGTTTGTGTATGGACACAGATGTGGTCACCTTCCATTGAGTGTGGTTGTGTTGCAACACTGAATGTCATCTGAAAAACTTCCATACCGGTGGCTGTTGTCTAGCCCTTGGACTGGACGAGAAAAGCGGAGAGATGATCGACCCATGATGTGGCGGCGTGGGATGAAGGACATTTGTGTGTGTTAGGTTAGCGTCAGCTGGTACATGACGACTCCCTCGGTGGAGGCTGACAGATAATTCAAATCGCTGGTTTGTAACGCCATCAGATACGGCCTACAACCCGAATCGATGGTGAACATGCTTCAGTTATCTTCTTTCTTCCTTTTTTGAAGGTAACGTAAAGTGATAAATGTTAAATAATTTTGACAAGTATGCTTATTTGCTTTCTGGATGTTGTCGCCGTCATTTATTCCATCCCTATTTTCTTTACGTGTTGTTGTTTTATTGTTATTTCTGTGTGGTGCATCTGTTGGTGGCCATAATGTACCAAGTCTGTGGTTTAAATGTAGTGTATAGTTTAATGTAAACCGATGTCTGGAGTCTCATCTGATGCTCACTAGCGACTGTCTGTATACATGAAGTGACCTGAAGTTCTCGTGCAGAAGTTATGACCAGCGGTGTCCACCCAGTCAGATAAGAGGACAAGTTACTCACCGGTAACATTTGACTGACGGTGGCGACGCCATATATACGGTGAATAGTCAAAAGTTTGAATTAATGGACTAGTCATCTCATCAGGTCTCAGTGGCTGAATGCTGTACGTTCTCACCTTGTATTTGGAAGGCCATGGGTTCTATGCATACCGAAGGGTGCATACCGCTGAAGAGTTCCGGAGAAGGAGGAGAAAGCAACTGTCCAGTACTCGAGTACTGGTTTTCCAATGTTTCTCTAACTGATGTTAGCTCGTGATGAAACCAAGACTTATAGTATGCAGTAAATTAGATGTTTCGATTTGGACAATAATTTTTGTTTTCAAAGGAAACTATAGTGCTGAAATAACCACCTCCTGTAACTGTGTAAATCTCAAATTGGTTAGTCAACTGCGGATTTTATCGATTGATCATTATGAAAGTTGAGAGATACTTTAGACTTTGGATATTTTATGTAAGGATTTGAATTAATTTTCTAGTGGAGATATTTCGTCACGAACTGTAAGACGTCATTTAGGAAGTGAGTCAATGAAAATCAAGTAGAGAGCACTGTGCAGCTGTTTCGCCATTCCGGTTTTGAGATTGTCTCCTCAACAGTGCGCATCCGTGATCATCCATCTCGCTGGGAATGGGATCCGGGACGTTGAGGTTATGAGACTGAGCTTGTTGACGATTCAGTAAGTGGGTTGGGTTTGAATTCTAACTTCTTTCAGTTGGTGATACGTATGGACTTGCTGCCACCAACCAATTCCATGGATGAGCATCCACTGAACCTTGACATCTCAAGATATCTAGGTAGTAGTCGCCAGTGTGCTGGTGTTGGAGATAGCGTTACCGTGCCATATATGTATTGTGAGTTGACAGGAGGGAGAATTGACGGGGCACGGAATTCCAACCTACTGGTTGCCCTGTAGGTCCAGGGCGCGAAATGTTTATGAATCCGAAAGTTGGACGAAACAAGTGTCCTGTATGTTGCTTGATTTTCCTATGATTATCTGTAACATGTGTTGGTGATGTTGAAGAAATGCACACTGAAAACATAACTGTCAAGTGGTACCATCCACACAAATAGGGGAAAATTCAGTTGTAAGACTGTCTATACATTTAGTGTGTGAATAGTCACAGGAAAGAGAGAGAGGCTATACGAATTGAAATGGAAGCAGAGGTTTAGTGTATTCGAATGAATTCCGATCGCCTGTACAATGTGTTGAATTTGGACTCGTAGGGCATAGAGGAAGTTGGGTGTGAAACACGATTCATAAATAACTTCTTGAAGCTATCTGTATGGGTGTCGACTTGACTTGTTGTGGTGGCGAGATGACAGTTAGTATCAGGCTAGGTATCACTTTATTCAGTTCAGTCGTTTGACTAAGAGAGGGTGGTGTTCAGAAATTCGACAATGGACGTGCTAAATCGTACACCCAGTTTGCCTGGCTCCCTTAGAAGTAGTTAAACTGAAAGAGGCGAAATTAGGCTGTTCGTCACTATTTCAGAGTGACTGATTTTCAGCATAGAAGTGGAACAGCAGTTGGACTTGCTGCCCACTCCATGTAGACCACACAGGTAGAGAAAAGAGTTGGAGACAGATTGAAAAGAACTATAATGAGCAGAAATGTATGGGGGTAGGGATAGTAATACGGAGAAGAATAATAATTTAGTGGATCTGTGAGACTGCACAAAGATCGAATCGATGTAGGCCATGGAGAAGGATTTGGGGCCATTTCAGCAACAGTGTGAAGCCATTAGTCTTTAACAGTCCGAGGACCTGAACCAGTTACTCCGTCTACACCCCCTCCTAAGATGGATGTCTCGAACTGACTGTCGAAGGTTTTATCAACGGATTCCATGTTTTTATTTGGATACCCTAAACTCCTTTGCAACCTCATTATATGTGAGCTGAGATTTCTCGTCAGGTAAGGCGGTGGCTCAGGATGCTTAACACGTATCCTAGCACTTTCTGGCTTTCAGTCAGTTCGTCAGCTGATGTGGTGTCGATTGGTGGTATAATTCCTTTCGAATAATGTAGTTGGTCTATTCATCAGTCAGTATATTGCTTCGTTTCTTCCTTCTCAGGGTTTTCGTACACTCAATTTCGATTGGAGTGGCAAGAGTGAAACATCTGGATCAAGAGTTATGTCTACTGGTGAAGAAGGTCACTTGGTACAGAATCTTAATGAAAGATTCAGAGGTGGACTTAATAAATGGCATCAACGTCGTCGTAGAGCTAGAGGCGGTGGAGAAGGCATAAGCGGAAGAAACCAAAATGGTCGGCCGCATGAGACACCCGATGGTGGGGATGTCCCATCAAGTGGGGTAGGTATTTGCAATTGGTGTTAAAAGTTATGATCGTGTTTATTGGTTTTCTGTTTAAATGTCCAACTCTGAGGTAATGAATAAGTTTTATGGGTGGGCTGGTTGTTTGTGTAAGTGTTGGATAACTCGATTGCTGGCTACTCACTGATAGGAAAGGTTGTTGTGCTGCTCTATTTTGACCAAACTAGCGTACACGTATATCCTAGTACTTCTTCGCTTTCATAATTGTGTCCTAACGTTGTGATTACTCGACATCCACAACGTAATTCAAAAGGCACTTGCGAGTACAAAAGTATTAATTGTTAACACGCAATCTTTAGAGTGATAAACAAATCAAAGTCCAATTACATAGTGGAAGTATACTACGATGATGAGTAATAAAACGGGTCACTACAATAGCCCCTCCGTAGAATGCAGGTAAATGAAGTTTACCTGTATTCGGAATGATATTGTAAATTACAATGACAGAAGAAATATATGAGTTTCTGGTATGAAAATCGAATTGAGGCTTTTAAGTTTTCTGAGGTTTGATAATATGACTGTATATGTTCGAAAATGTTAACAACTTTGGAACGAACCAAAATGTCTAGAAAGTTGTGCAAAATGTAACAATAAAACCAGAAAAATTATTACAATAGTAATGAGGTTGTTATTGTAAAGAGTTACAGAATAGATTTATATCTTACATTCAGTTAATAGTACAGTATTAAGGAAGTATGGAAATGAATTAGAAATAAATTGTCTGTACAAATCTTTGTGGCCAATGTACTCGTCTGCCTGATCTTGTGACTCTTTCTGTTTTGTTAGCCGGAATATCATCAGATTTTGAATCTTGAGAGCAGGAGTCATTTTAAGGCTCAAATTTAGGTTATGTTGATTTTGGTAAACATTCAGTCATCTCTATTTCCATGGAAGCTGGTTTTACGCGATCGATGCTTACATTTTCGTGTTTTCCTCCGCGTTCGACAGTGGTGATTTTGTTTGTTCTGCTTATTAATTTAAATGGTCCGTCATAGGGTGGTTGCAGTGGATTCTCTACACCGTCGTGTCGTATCAACACGTGAGTGCAATCTTCTAGTTTTTGAGGCATGTATGCTTGGTTGAGCTGATGTCGCGGCGAATGATATCTATTCGTACGACCTGTGCTTTGCACCGTCTAAGTGGAAATTAATGTTACAAGATTGGCTCAGCCATTCAGGTGAACCGCTTGGAGTTGTCGACGAGTTGATGCATATAGGTAGTTGCGTGAGTGGTGGCGTAGGTGTGACGGACGAAATGTCTAACTGTAATTCTGAGGTCTGACAGTTTGTGTTTGGACACAGATGTGGTCACCTTCCATTGAGTGTGGTTGTGTTGCAACACTGAATGTCATCTGAAAAACTTCCATACCGGTGGCTGTTGTCTAGCCCTTGGACTGGACGAGAAAAGCGGAGAGATGATCGACCCATGATGTGGCGGCGTGGGATGAAGGACATTTGTGTGTGTTAGGTTAGCGTCAGCTGGTACATGACGACTCCCTCGGTGGAGGCTGACAGATAATTCAAATCGCTGGTTTGTAACGCCATCAGATACGGCCTACAACCCGAATCGATGGTGAACATGCTTCAGTTATCTTCTTTCTTCCTTTTTTGAAGGTAACGTAAAGTGATAAATGTTAAATAATTTTGACAAGTATGCTTATTTGCTTTCTGGATGTTGTCGCCGTCATTTATTCCATCCCTATTTTCTTTACGTGTTGTTGTTTTATTGTTATTTCTGTGTGGTGCATCTGTTGGTGGCCATAATGTACCAAGTCTGTGGTTTAAATGTAGTGTATAGTTTAATGTAAACCGATGTCTGGAGTCTTATCTGATGTTCACTAGCGACCGTCTGTATACATGAAGTGACCTGAAGTTCTCGTGCAGAAGTTATGACCAGCGGTGTCCACCCAGTCAGATAAGAGGACAAGTTACTCACCGGTAACATTTGACTGACGGTGGCGACGCCATATATACGGTGAATAGTCAAAAGTTTGAATTAATGGACTAGTCATCTCATCAGGTCTCAGTGGCTGAATGCTGTACGTTCTCACCTTGTATTTGGAAGGCCATGGGTTCTATGCATACCGAAGGGTGCATACCGCTGAAGAGTTCCGGAGAAGGAGGAGAAAGCAACTGTCCAGTACTCGAGTACTGGTTTTCCAATGTTTCTCTAACTGATGTTAGCTCGTGATGAAACCAAGACTTATAGTATGCAGTAAATTAGATGTTTCGATTTGGACAATAATTTTTGTTTTCAAAGGAAACTATAGTGCTGAAATAACCACCTCCTGTAACTGTGTAAATCTCAAATTGGTTAGTCAACTGCGGATTTTATCGATTGATCATTATGAAAGTTGAGAGATACTTTAGACTTTGGATATTTTATGTAAGGATTTGAATTAATTTTCTAGTGGAGATATTTCGTCACGAACTGTAAGACGTCATTTAGGAAGTGAGTCAATGAAAATCAAGTAGAGAGCACTGTGCAGCTGTTTCGCCATTCTGGTTTTGAGATTGTCTCCTCAACAGTGCGCATCCGTGATCATCCATCTCGCTGGGAATGGGATCCGGGACGTTGAGGTTATGAGACTGAGCTTGTTGACGATTCAGTAAGTGGGTTGGGTTTGAATTCTAACTTCTTTCAGTTGGTGATACGTATGGACTTGCTGCCACCAACCAATTCCATGGATGAGCATCCACTGAACCTTGACATCTCAAGATATCTAGGTAGTAGTCGCCAGTGTGCTGGTGTTGGAGATAGCGTTACCGTGCCATATATGTATTGTGAGTTGACAGGAGGGAGAATTGACGGGGCACGGAATTCCAACCTACTGGTTGCCCTGTAGGTCCAGGGCGCGAAATGTTTATGAATCCGAAAGTTGGACGAAACAAGTGTCCTGTATGTTGCTTGATTTTCCTATGATTATCTGTAACAGGTGTTGGTGATGTTGAAGAAATGCACACTGAAAACATAACTGTCAAGTGGTACCATCCACACAAATAGGGGAAAATTCAGTTGTAAGACTGTCTATACATTTAGTGTGTGAATAGTCACAGGAAAGAGAGAGAGGCTATACGAATTGAAATGGAAGCAGAGGTTTAGTGTATTCGAATGAATTCCGATCGCCTGTACAATGTGTTGAATTTGGACTCGTAGGGCATAGAGGAAGTTGGGTGTGAAACACGATTCATAAATAACTTCTTGAAGCTATCTGTATGGGTGTCGACTTGACTTGTTGTGGTGGCGAGATGACAGTTAGTATCAGGCTAGGTATCACTTTATTCAGTTCAGTCGTTTGACTAAGAGAGGGTGGTGTTCAGAAATTCGACAATGGACGTGCTAAATCGTACACCCAGTTTGCCTGGCTCCCTTAGAAGTAGTTAAACTGAAAGAGGCGAAATTAGGCTGTTCGTCACTATTTCAGAGTGACTGATTTTCAGCATAGAAGTGGAACAGCAGTTGGACTTGCTGCCCACTCCATGTAGACCACACAGGTAGAGAAAAGAGTTGGAGACAGATTGAAAAGAACTATAATGAGCAGAAATGTATGGGGGTAGGGATAGTAATACGGAGAAGAATAATAATTTAGTGGACCTGTGAGACTGCACAAAGATCGAATCGATGTAGGCCATGGAGAAGGATTTGGGGCCATTTCAGCAACAGTGTGAAGCCATTAGTCTTTAACAGTCCGAGGACCTGAACCAGTTACTCCGTCTACACCCCCTCCTAAGATGGATGTCTCGAACTGACTGTCGAAGGTTTTATCAACGGATTCCATGTTTTTATTTGGATACCCTTAACTCCTTTGCAACCTCATTATATGTGAGCTGAGATTTCTCGTCAGGTAAGGCGGTGGCTCAGGATGCTTAACACGTATCCTAGCACTTTCTGGCTTTCAGTCAGTTCGTTAACTGATGTGGTGTCGATTGGTGGTATAATTCCTTTCGAATAATGTAGTTGGTCTATTCATCAGTCAGTATATTGCTTCGTTTCTTCCTTCTCAGGGTTTTCGTACACTCAATTTCGATTGGAGAGGTCAGAGTGAAACATCTGGATCAAGAGTTATGTCTACTGGTGAAGAAGGTCACTTGGTACAGAATCTTAATGAAAGATTCAGAGGTGGACTTAATAAATGGCGTCAACGTCGTCGTAGAGCTAGAGGCGGTGGAGAAGGCATAAGCGGAAGAAACCAAAATGGTCGGCCGCATGAGACACCCGATGGTGGGGATGTCCCATCAAGTGGGGTAGGTATTTGCAATTGGTGTTAAAAGTTATGATCGTGTTTATTGGTTTTCTGTTTAAATGTCCAACTCTGAGGTAATGAATAAGTTTTATGGGTGGGCTGGTTGTTTGTGTAAGTGTTGGATAACTCGATTGCTGGCTACTCACTGATGGGAAAGGTGAAGTTCAGAGTGCAAGCGTTTTGTGCGTAGAAGCAGAAGGAGAAGTTGAGGGAGAAGTAGGAAAGCCTTTCCGTCATTCGTTTGGCACATGGATTGAGATGGCTAAGAGGACACGTGTTACGCATGGTGAACCGTCGTTTTTCTCGTTGAGCGGTGTTAACTAGCTGACATATGATTAGGTTGTAAGAGAGTTTGGGGTGATGGAATTGGTGAAAATGCTGCCATCCATGCATGAGTAGTTTGACAGTGGGTTTGAGTGAGACACGTGAGGGAGTGAATACTGCCTGGTGTGGATCCTCGAGATGCTGGAGATTATGGGTGATATGGTTGGAAACCGTTCTGAATGACACAGATGTATTCGTGCTTTGTTATCACCTGGATTTGTTAGATATTCGATGTTACTAGTCTTTTTGGCGTGCATTTCTTCTGGTTGTATTTCTTTTGAATTGATTTTGGCCAGCTTTTTGGTGTATATGTCATTGATGAACTTGGACTGTGGCTGGATTTTTCGTAAAGTGTTTTGTCGAATGTCTCAGAGGTAATCGGGATATGTTCACCTTCAGGATTCCTATTTATTTGGGTGGAAATTTTCCTGGGGTAGGCTGATGACGTTGGGTGTACAAGTATTAGGCATGTGGACTTTCGAATTTGTGAACAATGCGTCGATGCAGGACATCATGTTGACACTAGTGGAGAGTTATTAATCCTATTTCCCCCAGCATCTTTGACGCCTTACGGGTCTGACATGTATTCGTGGTGATGTGAGTATGTTTAAATAAGTCGAATCTGTGGGTTTCCAGTGAAATTGCTACAGTAGGTTTCTTTGGTATGTCGGTGGACAACGATATTTGTAGAAGTTATTTGGTTCTATGCACGCAACTTGTATCATTCTAAACTGTTGTTGATGATGTGGGACAAATGGATTCACTCTTTGTTATCTCACATGCTCAATAAAACCTCCATGTTATTGTTCTTTCTCCAGTGCTCATTTCTACCCAACATACTGCGCCTAAATATTACTCACTCTATTATGCAACCTAACAGGGAAGAGGTAGATCAGAGACACCTATGATCAAACACAATTAGCTGTTTCATTTCTTCCTCGTTCAATAGCCATGTATCCTTATTGTAATAAAGGAGGACGGAGAGAACTGTTGTGCAGTGCACACGTCCTTTGTCGACAGCTGGATATCACGTGTACGCCAGAGATAGCGTGAGTTGGCAAATGCCACACTAGCCTTCTGTATCCGTTGTGAGATGTCATCAGGGCTTAACACATTGATGCCGGTGCAACATCCCAAATAAGTGAAGTGGTCGGCACGCAGTACCAATTCACTCGCTATATTTAAGCCAACTAGGACTCAATGTAGTTCAGTCCTGTAGCATTGATACCTCTTCAAATGACTTCATTTCGTTACCAGTAGGTTATGTGATTCCCCCAACCAGTCACTTTCTTACTGCATTTCTTTTTTCACTATATAACTCAAATAACTGACTTATTCAGGTACAAGATGAAAATCGGTCAAGCGGTGGAGGTGGAAGAGACGAACGTCGACGTCGTCAAGTTTTTAGTGATGAAAATGCTTGTGGTGGTGCAAGTCGCGGTGAAGCTGGTGATGTCAGTTACCGCAGTGCGCCAAACGAAATGAGAGAAGAAGCCAGAGGTGCAAATGATATGATTGTCTATTTACCTTTTGATTGTACATACCATCATCAATGCTACTTCCCGTACTATCCACAAAGTTTTATATCAGTGTATTTTCCTCCGCCTGATCTCTGTTCTGCAGGTGTTTTTCGTAGAATTTGTTATAATTGTTATAAAGGATTTGAACATTTCTTACAACTATCAAATATTGATTATTCGCTTGGTTTTTATAATACACAAGAACAACAAGGTGGATATTATGCTGATTGGCATCAATGTAAGTGATTGAACTGATCTTGTCCATGTGTGTCATTTCAAATTGGTAACAGCTCTCTTCACTATTTTTACCCTTTTTATGTATTTAATAATTTTATGTCTCTGTATTGATTGATATGGTTTGGGTATATGACAAGGACAAGGTTAAGCCTCCAAGGACCAAAGTCATAGGAACGCAGCAGTCACATGAAAAAGACGTATTTTAGGTTAAAAAAATACATATGTTAATGAAAATAATGAATAATAAAGGCATGAAGTGGTTATACAGGGTACTTTTCTCTCACACATGCATTGGAGAGTCAATAGAGAATAAACTACATCCTATACATGAATGCATCTAGATTGTTGTAGATGACGTCCTTTTGAAATCCACTAATATCTGTAATCCTGTTCTTCAGTCTTCCCCGGTGTACTTTAAAGCGAACAGATTTAGGTGCATGCCTGCAGTGAGGTCCACAAAATTAGTGGAATGGTTGACTCTGTGGTGAATGTAACCGGGGGTTGGGGCAATACATTATACCCTCGCCATTCATCTGTGTGGATTTTCCATCTCAATGTTACCAATCTGCTAACAATAGATATCAGAGTAGTGAACTTCCTATCTGTTGTTCTTTCGATAAGTTCTTTGCCTATGCTGGTAAGTATGGTACAGTCCTAAGACTCATACGTTATACTGTTCTTTATTTCTATATTCCCCTTACATGTCTGTTTGTTATGTAGTTCTTTTGAATGTCTTTTTTCCACTGTTTCCTCCACGTTTGTGTGTTATATGGAGTGTGTGTGTGTATGCGCGTGGCAACTTGAATTGCTGGTGGACTTATGTGCAAAGTCCTATGTTGTAATTCAATTAATCAGTCACCGATTGACCTTGTTGTCTGTATGTGCGTTTGCTGCTTTGACCATGTTTATCCCCTTATCATGTGTTTGGTTATGTGCGATGTCGCTGTGTGTGTGGAGGTGCGGTGGTGGTGACTTGAGTCCCGACTTCACTTGCTTCATTCATATGATGATGGGTGTGACTCTTTACCTGCTATATGACGAAAAATTTCTACCCGGTAATTTAGTTCAAACAACAACATGTGATACAAGTTTGTCAAAACTTCATTGATTGAGATGACTAGGATAGGCGTTATATGCAGCACGCTATCGCCTTCTACGTCATCGGGTCATGTGAGTTGATATACGGGTTGGATTGAAATTGAGTTAGGCATCAATTCATAGAGTGTTTAACTGTTTATTTTGAACTAGCTAGCAATTTAGAGGGAGGGTGTAGACTATCTGGCTGTCGGGATGGGGGGAGGGATCATCGAGATGCTCAGAACGAAAGACAGGAGATTGATCGGCTCTAAGTCACTCCCAGTTCTCTCTCTTGTACATTTTACTTTCTTATAGTTTTTTCATTTTATTTCTTAATCAAATTCGTAATTTGTACACACACACAGTTAGAGGTGATTATTTCACCACAGTTTCCTTTGAAAACCGAATTCATACAGATCACACACAGAGTGTGAGATCTACTCAATACCATAAACGATAGACAAGACAACAAGGAAATTTGCATGAAACTACCTACTACTGATTGATTGAGATGAGTAGTCCTACACGCCTCACATCAATTAGTGGTAGTGCTTGCCACTAGCCAGGTCGAATTTGATTTGTCATGGTACTAGTTCGCCCAAGTAGTTAACCAACCAGCCAGAAATCGGGTGGTTCGTACTGATTTCCCTATCCCTCTGTTAGCTGAATTAAACCGGACGGGTACACTGCGAAAAGGCCTTCCAGTGTGCTTAGATCATTGGGTAACATGGGTTCAAATATCGGAAGGGATATGAGTGAGTCGCTTGAAGATTACAGGTACTCCTTGAAAACTGGTGAGTGCCAGCAAGCACGAAATCTAGGTCCAAGTCTTCCTACTGATTGCCTCCAACCATCTAATACCATCATTATAGTTCTTTTGAATCGTCTTCTTCCCCTTCTTTCTTCACCATAGTGTGCTAGATGTAGTGTAGTAACTTGAACTGACGCATTTCTGCACAAAGTTCTATGTTGGAACTCAATCGATCAGTCAAACTATCTTTGTCATAGTATGCGTCTACCGTGAAATTGAATAGTCATATCAGGTGACTGTTCCCTGATTGCCCATAAACTGTTATCGCCTCCTCATACACTCTCGTACATGTCTCCAGCAGACGTCCGAATCGTCATTTCCTATTCAGGTTTCAATCGACGGCCTGGAGCACGATGCAACTCAACAGTCTCCTCACCATTTGGAAATCCATCTCCATCTTGAACTGTGACTGGATGGACTTTCAAACCTTGTCCGGACAATGGTAATTCAGGAGAAGAGAGAAGGCTGGGTGAGAGTCTACTACCCAACTCCGTATTAACAACGTGACCACTACTGAGACTTCAAAAAGCTTGAAATTCTGTGTTCCACTTAAAATTGAAGGAATAAAGGGAAAATTCTGCTGTGTGTATTATAATAATTATTATATTGTTGGGTTCTTAGTGGCTTCTTCAGAGGGACATTGCCATCTCATTCTGTTCTCTGTAGTCGTTTTTAGCTGACTTCACAAACCGTCTCACAAGCTTTCCTCTGTTTCATATCCGGCTTCGACACATTGCCAGCTAATCGTTTCCCATTCGGATGGAACCCGAATGACTGTTTTTGCGCAAGATGTCCATAAATGTTTTCCTCAGTGCATTTGTCCCGATCGATCCTCAATTTATTCTGCATTCTAGCAGTAAATAATTCCTCGAAATTATTTCTCTGCAGTATTCATCATTCAACATTCGGTGACCATGATTTATGTATATATATTCTTCTAATGAGGTCCTTAAAAATTGGTTTGCTAAATCATTGAGGGAAACAGCTTTTTGTTTTTGCTACCACTCTACAAATATTCAGGAATTGTTTTTGTATATACCTTACCTTACGAATTAAAGACATGGTCATCTACTCAACAGTTGCATTGAAGTTTGATTATTTCTCCGGTTGGCCAATGGATTAAGGCGGAAATGACATGATAATAATATATGTGTGCAAAACTTTGCACTACTGATTGACCTAGATGAGCAGTTGGACACCACACTCATATCCACGAGTAAGTGACAATAGTTGTGGTCAGAAATCGGTTGTATTTGGACTGATTTGACTCTTTCTCTCTCTCTCTCTCGCTGTCTGTCTGTCTTTCTGCCTTTGAGTTGATTCGAACTGGTTGTACCACCGAGTGGGTGATGGTTTCGGCGTCAAGCTAGCGGAAGGACTGGCTTGTGGTATGTTTAGATCACTTTGATTTGGCTGATTAGCTAGCAGGTCCTACTAGTGGTTGTTGTGGTATAAAAATACTCATTTCAATCAATCAGTAGTGTATAGTTTTATGCAGTTTTGCTTGCTTTCTTGATGAACATTTATGGTATCATGCATTTTGATGTGAATAATTTCGGTTCCTAAAGGAGACTGTGTGATGGAATTTCATCACTTTGAACAACTGTGTGAATTTTAAATGCGTTGTATTCGAACTGTGATGGTGAATTAGTCTGTTTTTTTTCGCGTAGACGTGGAGAGAGGGCAGGGTGCAAGGAAACCACCTCATGTTTCGTACTTCTGTTATCACTATTACTATTACTATTATCATTACTAATCCTCCAGATAACCACTGGAAAACGATGAATGTTTCTGTCTATGATCCGACTCACAATTTTTGTTTCCTCTTTTTCTCCTATTTTAGGCGGTAGAGTCTGTTATGATAATCAAAATAATATCGATATATCATCAGATTGTAAAGAAAATTATGATCCTGAGAGTAATAATCAAGTGGAAATTGATTTATCATCGTCTCTGAAGCATATCCATGACAATGAGGACACGACTACTACTCCTGTTACAAGAAGAAGAACAACAAAAATAGCTACTACTACTGCCACTATAGATCATCAAAAAGGTCTTGATATGACATAATTGTGTCTACAAGGTCAATAAGTTATCGTTAGAGTTGTAGTAGCGTCTACTTGTAGCTCTTTCAATAGATTTCAATCAATGATCAACGATGCATCGTTTTTGTTGCATTTCATTTCATTGCTCATCGACACATAAGATACAGACGTCAAGTTTCCTTGTTGTGTTATACTTTCTTTTGCCGAGGTATTTCCGTTTCTAATATTAAAACATTTATTAGTATTATTATTCTTCCTATTTTGTTTAACAAGAGTTTGTTTTTGTCTGTTCATTTTTGTTAATATCGCTGAAATGCTTCGCCGAACAATTCATCAATCATGTATTCCTTTTTCTACATAAGAAAACTTTTTGTCAATAACGACGAAAATCCGAACACTGGATACATGATAGCTTTTGTTTCCCGGTAGTTATCATGAGTTCTGTAAATTTTGTTATTTACCATGTTGACAGGGTATTGAACCGAGTGAGTGATTTGTATCGCTCGTACGTACAATTGTGTTTATTTACATATTCGTTATTGACGCTGACATTTTTGTACACCTTGTTTTTTTCTGACAATCTTTATGGAGAAAACAATTGCGTTCACGTTTTGGAATTCTCTTGTGTTCTTCTGTTCTGTTCCATTTGCATTGATGTTTCAATGGTAAGGGAAGTTTGGGTTTGGGTCCTCACCGACGCACTCTTAAATCTTACTTAACGAGTTGTAAGCCCAATCAAGAGGGAAGGTTGGGTGATGGGAGTATAGCTTGAATTCCTATTTCCCATTGTGAGATATAGCCATTGAAGGTGGAAGACATGAAAAGGCTAGCTGTGTTTGATCATAGGTGTCTGCGATCTACCACACACACCCTCCCGGTTAGGCAGTATAATAGGGTGAGCAATATTGAGGTTAGGTGTCGAATGTTAGGTAGTTAGAGGTAAAAGTCAATCGATGAGGTTGTGAAGCTATGTCGATTGAGACAGCTAAGACAACGCGTGATACGTATACCTAATTATCGCCTATTGATATAGCCTCACAGTGTTAAACAGTTATATTTACTGACGATGTTTCGAGCACACTTTATTACTGCTCATAATCATATCAAGGCACTACTCACACAACTTTCTAACTTGGTTTATATAATTCCACTGTTTTTCATCGCTTCACTTGATTGGTAGTAGTATTTTCCATATATCTGGTATGAGTGATTCCTATAACACGTGTTGCGTGTAAGCTCGATGAATAAGGATTCAGTAATCAACCTGTCTCTCCACCTACGTGTATGACATCTTAGAATTTTCAGAAAGACGCTATAGTCAGTTTCAAGGTCATGATGGGATCCTGCGTCTACTGGTTATATGTTTTCGTGAATTCGTTTTCCATTGAATTTTAAAGGTTTTTTTGAACGTTTTGCTTGTTTTGTAGTATGTAGGTCAGTTTTCTGTCACTGGATGCTACTAGTAAGGTTGTTTTTGGCAGAAGTTCCCACTTATTATGTTGGTAGTTAAGGATTATGGTAAACCTGCAATCATTGAGCTAATTCACGTACACTATGATAGTATAGTAACACTATTTAATAAATGAACTCCCTAACTGGTTTTCCATTGTTTGATAATGTGATTGAACCAGAACTGTGGGATTGTTTTATCCGCATGACCGGCTGTAATTCATCACCTTGTTCTTCTTAATAAGCATTATCGAAGAATAGGTTAGAATAAGTTTAGAATTGTTGTAAGCCTGGGGTGATTACGGTATAGGCAATAAATCGTATTAGTCGCCGTTACTCGCGATATGCTATGAACTAGAAATCTTCGGCTGATAAAACGCATTACATAAGGCACAGATCGGTGTAATTTGTAACTGACTTGCCAAGCGCTCTCATCAGGAAACAATCAACCAAAGTATGCTTTAAACTGTCGCTCTCAGGCATTTGAAGGGAAAGGAAGTGTAACACAGTTTAGACATAGATGTTTATATTGTGAATACAAATGGAAACAATAAGGTAATGCAAATATTTTCACAAAAATGATCGATTAACAGGGGCACGTCGTAATCTCAAAGTTGTTTGCGGTTCATTTGCGCCGTACTGTAATTACTGATTGACATGAAGCACTTTTGAACCTTCAAATTGTTAAAATTTACATAGACAGTAAACTTACCCTCTGTTCCTAAAGCCAGCACCTCGGGAAGCACGTTTACTTCCAAAAGTGCATTTAAACGTCACATGCTCGTATTCCATAGGACCGGATGGATCCTTTTTACTGGAATCAACCCGATACCATGTGTTGGATTCCTTTCAAAGAAATAATGAACAACTTAGTTAGTACCTTCATAAATGCATCTAAAGCTTCCTTAAATTGCATCCATGTATAAAATACACAGCAAAGCATTATCCTTTGGAATGTAGCTGTTACATCACACAATATAGATGACACATTCCGTGAAGTAGACGCAGTAGGAGTAATTTGCAACATCATTTAATGGTTCTAACAATTCCTAACGTGCACAACAAAATGATTTCAAGTAAATGAACAGTTGTATGTATTTCATTGCTCATATACCACTTTTGTGACATAGGAAATTTACTTTATTTATGTTGACCTAGTATGTGCAATTCCCACAGGTCACTAAACTGAAAACTTAAAAAAGTAGATCACTTAATACATACATATATCTACATGTCCAAAATTAAAGACACATTATACGTTTAGCAATTTTTGTTGAACTCTATTCCCATAGTAACAAAAAATGCATACATCCTATTTTGGACTTAAAATAAATGCATCAAAATTATTGTTAACTTATATTCACTTACTAGACATTCTCATACATCTCAGTGTACTTTCAACACCACCAATGCATCCAAATAGCATGTGACTATCACACTACACTCACACCAAAAAAATTAACACGCCGTTATATTATGGTAAGTTAAGAGTGACATTAAACTGACTGTAAATTTCCGTGTCAAAATAAAGAGACTGCCATTTTTACTTATATTTTAGACCAATAAGAAGCCAGCTAGCCAACAGCCAATCAAAATCTGCCCATATCGCTTTTCGAATTTTCACCCTCTCCCACCTTAATCTGTGGTTGTGTTAATGCATGCAGTACAATGTAGCACTGAGCTTTTTTCTAAATTACTTATCTTCGTGGGGTCAACCATTCTAACCTTAACTAAATTCTTTGTTCCGACAATCTGACCTATGTAGTTGACCTAACTCACAATCATTGCAAGGTATTTTGTAAATTATATTATTCTGTTTAATTGGGTCAGCTGGATCCTTTAACCTACAGAGCTTGTCCCTGAGTGAGTGTTGTAACTGCAATGGATTAAGGTAAAACCCCGTCGCCAATTTGTTGTAACTGTAGGGGGACTAAATGATGACGCTGTCGCCTTGTTCTGTCTGCGCCTGACTAATATGCCTATCTGCTTCTGGTACCTTCCGATTCAGCGAACCACGCAAATATCAAAAGACAAAGTCTGGTCTCTGACTTTGTATTGTAGTACAACAACTACGACTACGACGACAAATAACTTATTTAGGAAATGGTATTTATACAATTTTACAACCAATAGAGACAGCTAACAGTATTTGAAATAATTGGTCGTAATAGTCAATAACAAAATGCGTGGGAATGATGATATACCACTTATGCGAGATTAACAGTCATTAAGATAATTGAACAATAACAAAGTGCCTGGGAAATGATAATATAACACATATGCGAGATTAACAGTCTTAGATAATGAACAATAACAAAGTGTGTGTTGATGATATACAACTTATGCGAGATTAACAGTTGTTAAGATAATTGAACAAAGTGTGTGGGATCCTATCACCTCCCCCCGTTAAAAGTGTAGGACTTGCTTTTTGGATCTATTTGGAAAGCTTTCGGAGCTCTTCTTTGTCGAGTTGACCTTCGCGTGGTACTGGTTGGAGTGTGATCTGTGTCCCGGGCTTCCGGCTGCGGAAGATTAAATGTATCTACTAATAATTCTAGCGTGAGGTCTCGTCTTCCATTGTCTGGTCTATCTGGCGCATCTCGTATATGATTTGTGTGTCTGACCCATAACTGTCCTTCTACACTCACTTTGTATAAAACCCTTCCTTTCTGCCCCACTATTTGTCCTCGAATCCATCTCGGAGGTGAATAGCGAAAATCTCGTACATAAACTTGCTGATACAATTTGAAAACTCGACGTTTAGCTCCGTGATGGCGATTGAATTGGTTTTCCATCTTTGTGTTTCTGCAGCCCTGCTTTACTTGCTTAGGCTTAATTGAGTCGAGGGCAGTTCTGATCTTCCGGCCAAACATAATTTCTGCTGGGGATAACTGATTTGGGGCGGAAGGATTTGGCGTCGTACGATAATGCAGCAAGAATCGATCCAAAATTTCTTCTGTTGTTCCCTCCCCCTTCGCTTTTGCATAAGCACGCTTAAAGGTGTCGACGAAACGTTCAGCCTGTCCATTTGATTGGGGATGATACGGGGGGCTACGAATATGCTGGATGCCAAACAGTTTGCAGAAATCTGAGAACTGTGATGAGGTGAACTGCGATCCATTATCGGACACCAGAATATCAGGCATACCAAAACGACAGAATAGTTGACGTAGGTGGGACACAGTTGCAATTGATGTGGCAGAATGCATAGGAAATATCTCTGGCCATTTGGAAAACGCGTCGACACATATTAAGAAATGCATATTATTGAACGGTCCAGCGAAGTCAACATGAACACGGGACCATGGTTTGTCCGGTCGTGGCCAGGAACATAGTTCTGTCTTGTGTGGGCACTTTGATGCTTGAGCACATTTGCTACATTTGCGAACGAGGTCTTCGATATGCTCATCGATGTTGGGCCAGTAAACATAACTGCGAGCGATCGCCTTCATTCTCCCAACACCAGGATGTGATGTATGAAGCTGACGAAGCACATGGTTACGAAGATTAGCTGGAACCACAACACGGTCAGCAAACATTATGCAATCATTAACGATGGATAAGGATTGGCGTCGCTGGTAAAACTGTTTTAAAACATTTGAATGAACATGTGGAGGCCAGCCAGATCGGATGAACTTTGATACTTGCTGTAAAACTGGATCACGCAGTGTGTGGCTGGCAACCTCAGCTGCAGTCACCGGGAGAAGTTGAGTTGCGCCTACCAGAACTCTGTTTACATCATCTTCAACAGAGATGGATGCAATAACAACATCCTCGCTTTCCAATTTCTGATGGCTTAGCAGCCGTGATAATGCATCTACCTGGCCGAATTCAGAGGTAGGTTTGTATTTGATATCAAAATTATATCCGAGTAACATAACAGCCCACCTTTGAAGCCGATTCGCAGTGTACACTGGAATGCCCTTTTTCGAACCAAATATAGACAACAGGGGCTTATGGTCAGTAAAAAGAGTGAATTTCCTACCATGAAGCATTTTGTGAAACTTTTTGACTGCGAAGATAAGCGCCAAACCTTCTTTCTCAATTTGGCTATATTTGCGTTCGGTTGTATTCAGTGTTCTAGATGCATGTGCAATAGCTTTCTCGCTTCCGTCAGGAAAACGATGAGATATAACAGCACCAATACCATAGTTGGA